ACCTTACAGGTGAACCTTACGAAGAAATTTTCACAATTGAGGTACCCCCCCTTTCAGATGATTCTAGCTTTTTTCAAGTTGCCATAAGACTAGGCAGCACACAAAACAAAATTTAAAAACTAGTCACTTTAGCAAAACACTGTCTAGGCTTAATGTGGGGAAAAGCTCTTGCATTTCCTCTACAGTCTTCACTTCTCTGTTTTTAGGATAATGTTAGATGTTCTAGATCTCCCCTGCCCCTTGGAAGCAGGGCTTCTTAGAATTGGGAGCTTGCCTCTCCACACAGGAAGCAGCCCAGGTGCAGAACATTTCCATTGCTGTTCAACAAGAAATGCAATAAAAAAGCAAATTGACTTTTTTTTCATGTGCCATAGATGACTCAAAGGTGAAATTAAATGAAACCCAGTTACTAGGCTTAAAAAAAAATACAGCCAATAAGGATTGCTTATCCAGTAGTTGGATCCATGCCATAATTCTGAGTGAATGTTTTATTTCCTGGGTTTGTCTCATAGAGAAGTATATTATCTGGCTGAATAAATGCTAATGGGCAAAACATTTCTTGGCCACAATCAGCAATATAGCTAGAGATTACCTGGACTAAACATGAAAACAGAAACTTTATTTGTAGCTCTTCCACTCCCTAAATAACTCAGTTTGAAATTTTCACATTCTATATATTCGTAAGAAATAGAAAATATTGATGAATAAAGGAATAGCCATATGCCCAAGGTTATGACATAAGAAGCTGAGTTATCCCATTTGCCAAAGATACTAAAATTCTCTTTGATCTATTTTGTTGAAATATGTGTATATTTGAAACTCATTCCAAGTTCCTGTGCTTTACCTCAGAAAATTTCTTCTTTTAATGGTAATTTTTCTTCACTCTTGAGAATTTTATACACATGTGCAATGTAAAATAATTATATAATCTTCTCTGTTTTCTCCCTTAATCCACTTCAACATGTCTCCCTCCAAATGTCATGTCTTCATTTTTTTCTTTCATTTTTCTGCTATTTATTATAGTTGTTGTTGTTGTTATTACTATCCACTAAGTCCACCTGCTGTTGTCTGTTACATATGGGTATGGGACTATTTACTAGAACATGGAGACCCTGCCTACCAAGGGGGACACTAAAAAGCCTTCAGCAGCTACCATCTACCAACAGGTAATCGGTGAGGCACGGAAAGCACCTCTCCATCTATGCCAAATTCTGGCTGGACCGATCTTGTGCGGGATGTTTTTACAGGTAGCCACAGCTGCAGTGAGTTCCTGGGTAGGAAAGCCATGTTCATGTCCAGAAGCCAGCACTGCGCACCACTCCTTCCCACCATCAGCTCTTCCGTTCTTTCCATCTCCTCCACTGTGACGGTCCCAGAGTTTTGTCAAGGAGAAGGGTGCCAAAGGTATCCCATTTAGGGTTAAGCACTCAGTCTCTTATTGTCAGCACTTTGAAGAGTTACAAGGCTCTGAATTAATGGCAACCCACAGCAAATCAATCAATCAATCAAACTAACAAACAAAAAGGGATTATCTTATTACAAAGGTTGAGAGCAGCCCAGTTGTATTGGTATAAGCATAAATATTTAGAAGAACATTTGATAACATGACATTGAACAAAATAAAAATAGCGAGTTCTATCCGACAGCCTATGACCACCGCAGCTATGGGCTCTTAACCAAGATTACAATATCAGGAATAAAATCTCCTCTTGTGGAACGGACCTTAAATCTCAGCAGCAGATGGTCATTTGCTCTGTCACAGTCATGCCACTAATGCAGAAGTTGACATTGACTGGTAGATTGCTGTGGAGCATACCTACCCAATGCTGGCTAAGACCACTAATAATCTCCTCTCCTCCAGCATCGTGCATAACTGCCTGGCTCAATGAAAACTAGCCAATAGAAACTTTTCTCTTTGGTTTGAAATTTATTTTACTGCACCTAGAAAAAAGAAGTGCAGTGTCTGGACTGGGCAGGGGAGTGGTGGGGATGAGAACAGGAGGGATGAATAGGGGAAGGATGTAGGGAGAGAGTGCTAGGAGAAACAACTGGATTGGGGGGGGGCGTCTCTGTAATGAGCTAGAAACCTAGGAACATGGAAACACCCAGGAATCTATGAGGGTGGCCCTAGCTAAGACTCCTAGCAACGAGTGGTATGGAGCCTGAACCAGCCATCTCCTGTACCCAGGCAAGACTTCCACTGGAGGGACTGGGACACCAACCCAGCCACAAAACCTTAGCAATTTGTCCTGCCTACAAGATGTGCAGGGGTAAAAGCAGAATTAGAGAGAAGGGTCAACCAATGACTGGCCCCACTTGAGACCATGCCGTGAGAAGGAGCCCTCCTCTGACACTACTCATTGATACTCTGCTGTACTTGCAGACAGGAGTCTAACATAACTATCATCCAGCAATGGGTGGGAACAGATACCCTCAGCCAAAAATTATGTGGAGCTTGGGGAATCCTGTGGAAGAGGGAAAGAAAGAATTGAAGGAGCCAGAGAGGTCAAGGACATCACAAGAAAACGTACAGAATCAACTAAACTGAGCTCATGGGGGTTCATAGAGATTGAACTGCCAACCAGAGAGCATGCATGGGACTGACCCAGGCCCTCTGCACATAGGGAACAGTTGTGCAGTTGGATGTCCATGTAGCTCTCCTAAAGCAGGAGCAGGGGCTGTGTCTCACTGCATTGCCTGCTTTTGGATCCCTTTTCCCTATCTGGGCTGCCCTGTCTAGCCTCCGCAGAAGATGTGCCTAGTCTTACTGCAGTTTGGTATGCCTAGACGTGTTGATATCACGAGGAGAAAGAGGGTGTAAGATGAAGGAGCCAGGAAGAGAAGAGGGAGGGGAAAGGCTGTGATCAGGATGTAAAGTAAGTAAATAAATAATTAATTTTAAAATGTACAGTGCATTTACCAATAGGCTCTCGACGTGTAGTTATAGTGTATAGGAACCAAGGCTTCCTGCTCTGAGCTCACCTGAGATTTTTGGATGATGTTATAATTTTCCTGATATCTGTAGAAAAGTCTCCTATTGGCTGGAAAGTGGCTCCTCTGACTTGACAGTCACTAGGCAGGCACAGTGAGGTCCACTGAAATATGTTCGCTACCTTGTTGATCAGATCATCTCTTCCCAGCTGTGTTTTCTTAACTCTTTTGAAAATGTTCAAACTTACATTTATCTTATAAAATACTTCCCTTAGCTTTTTGGTTAATTTATATCTACAGTCATAGCTATAAAACCAGGATCTTATATGCTTAAAAAGATGAAACATATTTCTCCCACTTAGAGTTATTTGAATAACGTTTATGGTATTATGTGTTTTCTATTTATGCATTTCACACACAAAAAAAAATGTTCTTGTAAATAACGCTGCAATTTTTTCAGTAATTTATTGTTTTCCCATTCATAGAAAGATATGATTTGTATGGCAGGAAACACTGAATAATAGCAGTAAATAAACTATCATATCTCTGTATAGAACATCGACAATACGGCATCTTATTTTGACGAGAGAGAGAGAAATTATTTCAGATATCTGGAACTCCACTGAATTTCACTGGCTGTTGAAGGCTCAGAAGGTTCTTCCTAGAAGCTATGCTATTATTATCATAGAGTCTGGAGCCCGTTTTACTGATGCTCTTCGCAGCCTTCCAGGAGGAGCACCCAACTGGCAATGGGGGTGATTAATTTAAGAAACTTCATCTCAGGCATCTGGGGTGGTTTCCGAGTAATTGCGGTAAGCCATGCGCATATATTCTGGTGTGAATGGCTCTTTGCATTCCTAAATTTCAGGAGAAGGTGAAAAAAACATGGTCCAGGGCCTGGAGGGACCCCTATTATATGTTTTCAGGAACTTAGTGTCAAACCGGAAGGGAGCAATTTGGACGGACTCAGTTCTGGTTGAGTAGAGGGGTTCATTGCTAAGGTCTGTTTTTATGTTACTGCGCTGTTTTCGTTCATGATTATTACCTTTCCTTTTCCTTCCGGGTGCTCAAAAGATAATACTCCATGCCCCATTGAAAAATGCCTCTCATACCCCATTCCCAGTAGTGATAGTGGAAAATAGTGCGAGAATTGAACTCGGAGGCAAGCTGCAGCGATGAAACCTTAGGCTCTTCCCTGGGCATGAGGCCTGTATGCCGTTCACTGCCTCCCCCCACCCCATCCCCAGCAAGAATAAGGTGCCTTGAGGCAGACAACCAGCCTTTCCCCAACCCTCACTGCATGTTTAAAGGTTACCCTTTTTTGTTTTCATTTGCCTGATTTCTGTATCTTTTTTAAAATTCAATAAACAGTTGTCTAATGATTAAATAAATAAATAAATAAATAATTAAAGAAAGAAAGGAAAAGAAAAAGGAGATTTCTGTATCTTCGTTTCAGAGGCCTGGCTCTGGATTTCCTGAGCGACCATTTTGAAATGGTGAAGCTTTAGGCTCACAGTTCTTAGCTGATGATTTTTTTAGTTAGCTCCTTTGAACGAACATAGGTGTAATTTATTTCAAAGAAGTTTTTTTTTTTTTCTTTTCTTTTCTTTTTTTAATTGAGGCTCTGCCTCAATTAAAATCTACCATCTACCATCCTGGTAGATTTCAAAGTTCTCAGTGTCAGTACTGTGCCCACCGCCAGCTCTGCCCAGTGGAGAACTTGGGGGACTTGGCTCAGGGGAAGAATAAGGCTGACCCAAGGACCACCTTAAACTTGCCTGATTGTCAAGGATAGACTTGAAAGACTTCTCATTGCAAAGCCACGAAGAAGGGGGTGGGAGATTCACCCCGGGGGCTGTCATTTGTGTCTATACAGAGAAGTCAGGACCCAGCCAAAGCTTGGAAACTCTGAGCCAAACTTATTCTGAGATCTCACCCCCACTCCCACCCCCACCCCCAAAAAGCCCAACCGCAGCGGTGAGACCCGACCGCTGCCCCTGGCGCAGCCCGGGGGGTTCCCTGAAGAAGCGGACACCCGTCTTGGCTCTCCCCCCCTTCCCTCTGTTACTATGGGCTTCGCTTCGGAGCTCTTCGCGGAAGCCGTGGACCCCGCTTTCCAGTGCCAGCTGTGCGGCCAGGTGCCGGAGGAGCCCGCGTGCACGCCTTGCGGGCACGTCTTCCGCGCCAGCTGCCTGCTGCCCTGGGCGGCGCGGAGGCGCCGGTGCCCGCTGCAGTGCGCGGCGCCGGCGCTGGGCGAGCTGTGCCGGGTGCGGCCGCTGCGCAGCCTGGTCCGGCAGCGGCGAGCGCAGCGTGACTCCCGCGCCCCGGGCTGCGGCTACACGGTGGGGCCGCGGGAGCTGGCGGCGCACGGCCAGCGCTGCGCCTTCGGCCCTGCCCCAGCGGCTGCGGGGGCGGCGGGGAGGAAACGCACTGGGTGACCACGACCCACCGAGGTGGGGACACACACGTGGGGAGCCGTCGGGGCCGGAGGGACGCCTGAGGGAGGTAGAGGAAGGCGCTGCGGGCACAGCTCGGTTTGCTGCGCGCGGGTACCAGGAGAAGTTGACCCACTACATGGCGCACACGTGCAACTTCGGCGGGGACCCCGGAGGCCGAGGCCAGGTAAGCGCAAAGGGAGTGAAGCCCCAAACACGACTGGGGCCGGGAGGGGAGCATCTTCCTGACCCTTGAGGATTCCTCCTGGAGGTGGCATCATTTTTTTTCTTTCCAGAGCCGCGCGAGACATCCTCCCTGCTAACCTACTCTGCATCGCTCAGGGTTAAGAGAGTCAAACTCAACTTTCTCCTGGAGAAGGAGAAATTGAAAAAGCTCTTTTCCCGTCCACGCTCCCGTTCTCATCTTCCACTCTCCTGTCCACTCTCGCTGCCCATCTTTCTTGTCCTTCGCTTGTGCTTGAAGCAAATTCCACCAACAAACCGGTTAATTGGTGTGCTTTGGCAGAGAAAATAAGTCTTTCAAAGCCAATTAACTTGTGTGTGTGTTGGGGGTGACAGGGTACAAGGATGGCATTTCTTTACATCTCTAACTTTCCCTGATGACCTCCCTTTCAGGACCTCACATGTCCTTCTCGGCGGTGAGTGTGCGTGCTATGACCAGGGTGCCTGGGTCACAGCAAGAACAGCCGCCTGCAGGCACATTGGCCCCCTGCAGCGCGCCAGGCAGCCACTGTATTGCCTACTGGGAAGCTGCTGGTCAGAGCTGCACGCTGCAGCAGCCTGGCTGTAGAGTCTTGGTTGTCAGCTGCGACTCGTCTTCAGGACGGTTCGCTCAGTGTTTGACTTGGCTGGTGTCTGGCAGAGCAAGCAGGGATTTAGCAGAACTTGCAACCCCTTTCAGGAAGCTGTTTTCATTCTTTTACACTCCTTGGGAGGAGCTACGGGGAGAGGGCTTCCTTCTGAGGACCGGCTGATTAGCTGTACCTCCGACTTTACCCCTTGATTTGAACCTTCCTGCCCCTAGCCTGAAAAACAGTGGAAGAGAGAGAAGCTAATGTGATGCTCGGAGAACTTGTAGGAATAGCCGTGTGTCCAACACACACAGTATCCTTGTGTGAAAGCGTCCTTGCATCACAGAGCACAGTGAGCTAATGGAGAAAATAAACATAAAAAAGAAAAAAGACCGGATGCTCACATGAGTTCCCTAGTCGGCGCATGTATGGAGAAAAGCACAGCAATGGGATTTGCATCACCAATCCAGGTTTCAACACTGATGGGAAGGAGCAACCGTTAAAATCATGGGATAAAGACATTCAGCATCCTGTCAAGCTGAGGTTCTAGGCCACGGCTTCTCAAGGCTGCGGCCCTTTAGCATGGTTCCTCGTGTGGCGGCGACAACCCCCTCCCCCTCCAGACATAAAATTATTTTTTGTTGCTTCTTCATCACTGTAATGTTGATAGTGTTGTGAATAGTAATATAGATTTCTGATATGCGGGATATTTGATATGCGACCCCTCCCACAAAAGGGGTTCGTGAGAACAGCTGTTCTATGCAGTGCTTTGTGAACTAATTCTCAAATGCTGCTGGTCGGGTTGTGCATCTCGAAATCGCTTTCTGCTGCCTGTAGGGGCTGCTGTGGGCTCTGGGAAAGCGGAGGGGAGGGGCGCTGAGGTAGCAGTGGGGATACAGTGGGGTTTCATCACTCAGCATGGGATGTAGCTCCAGATCCTTCACTCCTCAGAGAAGTTAAAAGTCTGTGGCGGTGACTACAGCTCATCTGTCCGGTGCCTGTTCAAATTGGTCTTTGCTCACAAACAGGTGGCTGATATAATTTATGGTTTTTAAATATTGTTGTATCACTGGGAAAGAAATACATACTATTGAGCAAAACTCCTTTTATTTTTATTCTGTGAGAATTATGACAAGCCGAATAGGGATGTTGTTTAAAATCAAGATGGCTGCCTTCCAATAGACCCTGCATTACACAGCCAGTCCAAATGCTGCTCCTGAGAGGACCTTATAAATAGCTCAGCATTTTTCAAACACTCTTAACACTTTCTACTGTGAACATTTACATAAAAATGTTTCTAAGATTCACTGACAATTTATTTTACTTTTCTGTCGTACAAAGATAAAAATAAAGAACCCTGCCTGGTGAAGCCCAGAAATCTGTTTGCAGCTAAGGTGAAGTCAGAGTGGGATGCTTCCTGAAATGCAAATCCATGTAGTTGTGTGGAAAGCCCTTTCTGGTCATGTGGACAGCAGTTCCCTTCAAACACACGCTTTAAACTACGCTCAGGGAGAAGTTTTCCTCAGGTCAACCGGCCATTCTTAAAATGTTTTCTATTTACAGTAAGATGTCACTTTAGTGGTTAATTTTCTCTTGTGTTTTTATTTTTTACTATAATTTATTTATGTATTCGTTTTACTTTCCCACTTCTCTCCTTTTTCATGTAGGACAGAGAACAGAAGTCATTCACTGTTGTGTTGGAAAGAGAAGATGGTACTTTGGGATTCAACATAATAGGAGGCCGCCCAAATCAGGTGACTCCTTTGCTATACAGCATTCTGCATGGAAGCGGACTGTGCCACAGACAAACACATGATGCGATCCTGAAAGGATGCTGGTGCCCAAATGCCAGATTCTTAATCTAGATTTTCTAGTGCATTCTCAATTTTCTTCATGAGAGAATTTGAAAAGAAACCATTCCACAGTTGACAAAACTTGATTCTCTTAGATGCAGCCATAAAGGAAAGGGTGTGTTTCAGCTGCCTGCCTTGGACAGCACTGTGACCAGATCTCTTGACCCTGTAGCAGAGTAGCCTGTGTAGGCAAATTCACCTTTGCAACACTTGGTACCTTGTCTGCACATACTTCCTGTTGTCCTCAAATGGTTCTGCCTTTGGATGACAATATGGTTGAGAAGCTGACAATGTGTATCAAATGAAGAGTTGAAATGAATTTAAATAAGAGAAAAGTGGGGTGGTTGTTTTTTTTTTTTCTTCCCACAATTTCTTAAGAAACTTCATATTAAATATAGTTGATGGGAAACATTTTTTTTTTCAGAGTCCCAGCTCAAACTTTTTAATTGGGTGAATAATTTCTACAATACATTTATTGTTACCAAAGTTCATATTATCTATCTACAGACTGTATTTACAAAATCCTTTGACATCCTGCAGTCCTACATTGTCTTAATTTTGAGTGTAACTGAACAAAGATGGTGAAATTTAGTAAAGAGAATCACCTTACTAACTCCAGCTAATTACTCTGAAATGCTCTTGTTCCATGTGGCATTGGCTGTTCAAGAGCTCATCTGCTATAGGACTTTAGGTCCTGCTCTGAGCTGGGTTTGGGATGGTGAGAACTTGTGCCAACATGCTGGCTAGGATGGGGCCATCCTGTGCCTTCTATGCAACTAGCAAAACCAGCAATCTAAAGTCACTCTGCTTCTGTTCTAAAATAGTCCCAGTTATTATCAAAACACAGCTGTTCCTCCATATTATTTCCATTGTCCCTTCTATTGTGGGTTATTTATAAATGCCAGTTAGGAATTTGACACTTAAACGACATTGGGCATTTTTAAAGAATCACTTCTAATTCTGGTTGTGGCAGGCCAAGTGGGGGGAATTTGTAAGGTTAATTTTACTTATCCTGCCATAAAGTCAGCTGACATTTAATAATGCATAATGTGTTGTTATATTATGGAAAACATTTTCTTAAGTAGATCATACTGGATCATTGGTCACTTGTGGTTGGCTGAGATTCTGTACTCTCAAAAGGCTGCATTTTTGAAGTTTTCCTATGCTCTGTGAAATTTGTGCCTGAAACTATTAGGCATAAAGATCAGATGTGAGTGAGCCATTTGGCCATGCAAAGTAGATATTTTGAGATTTTTAGATTTTAAACTTACCCTGTCTTTTAGGTGGTCAGAGCTATGGTTCTAAATTTCTCACCCTGGAAACTAAATTATATTTATAGAGCTATGATTGCATCAAGTTGTTATATACTAGAGGGTGAATTTGCTTTCTTTCTTCTTCTGTACTTCTTTTTTTTTTCATCTCCCATATCACTTTGTAGGTGAGAGGTTTTTACAGTAACATTGTTGATCTCACCTTGTAAGTGCCCTTCTCCAAAGCTTTCATGTGAACTCCAAGTGTAACATAAATAGATGATCTTGTCAAAGATGCTGGACTTGTTCATTATAGCTGTCATCTTGATTAATGACTAGTTGGAATTAAGTAAGTTAATTCTGTGCCAGTTTGCCAGCTAAGAGGGCTGCATGTTCAAGCAGAATTGTCAATGATACATTCAGAAAATCATCCTTTACAAATTTTGAAGTTTGCTTTGTAAAATTTGAAGTTTGCTTAATGTGTTTCTTTCTGTTAACTTTTTTTTTTCCTATAGAATTACCAGAAACAACCAGTAACTGAAGGAATTTATGTTTCAAAAATTTTAAAAGATGGACCTGCAGACAGAGCAGATGGCCTGGAGGTTCATGACAAAATCATTGAGGTAAAAGAAAAAAAAAAATAGTGCCTGATCCGTGATTAAGACTTTGTACAGTTGTGTGCACGTTGTGTACTTATCAGAGTAGAAATCTAACTGTAGTGGAGACACTGCTGTTTTATTTCTTCCTAAGAATGTAAAACTCTATGATGGTTTTCTCGTCGATTGAGAGATAGCAGGATAAAGGTACAAAGTACCTTTTTTAAGTGTACAGGTGTGTTGGCAAATATCAGTGTCTTAAGACAGTCCCTTCGCAGGTACTAAAGGAACTTCTTCTCGAGCTGTTGTGGAATTCATTTCTATGACATTTCAAAAGGTGACAAAGCTGTCTGGAGAACATATTTGATAAGAGAATAATTATTTCAAAAGCTTGGATTAGTGTGCACTTGTGAACACTGTAAGATGCCTTTATGATCCCTCGGCGTAGTGTCTTTTATAAGACAAGGCAGACGGAAGCAGAAGTCTTGTCCTTGTAGGGAGAAGCTGTGGGAAGCCATTGACTGTGCAGCTGTGTTGCTGTGTTTGAAGCTTATGCCGTGATGAGAGGCCTAGAGTTACTGCTATCTCTCTCTTTTTGATGTTCGTTCGCAACTGGAGACAGTATTATTTGTTGTTGCCAAAAGAGGTTAGGTTATTTTTGTTGGTTAATTAATTTCCAACGTGTCTGTAGAGATATGAATAGAAATTGAGACGGTTTACTGGACTCCACTGTATTTGGAAAACAAACCTGTTTGTTCAATATAATGGAATAACCGACATTGCCTTTCTGGATGGCTAGATCCCACTTTTCATCATTAAGCTTCTGATAGGTTCTAGACTTGTATTCCTAGTGTACGTGCTAAAATTCTGAATTCATTGGAGTAGAATAAGAATAGGAAGGAAAACCACAAGCCATAGGGTCTAGAAGCAAGCTGACTAGACACGGGGAAGAATTGTGCATTGCATTTGGGAGAAGACTGGGTGTTTAAATAACCAGCTTTCCGCATAAAAATGACTTCTAGTTGTGTAGCCAAGAAAGGACAGCCTTGTGTTTGCTGTCCGGTTTGCTGCAGGTTCCCTGCAGCAAGCATACAAACAGTACAGTGGCTATAGTCAGAGGACGTCTATTTTCAGTCTTGGAAATGTGTGTCCAACAGGTTTTCATGGGTTTATGAAATTAAACAACAAAAAATTCTTCTCATCCTCTGTATCATCTTACAAGCATTCTAATGGGAAAAAAAGTCTACATTTGCTATTATCAAATCAAATAGAGTCTCGGTGAATAGATAGGCTCAAACACACCCATACCCTAATGACAGAACTCAGTAACGAGGACTTAAATCATGTTAGCTAGCTATTTGACAATGTCACAGATGTTAACACTGCAATAAAAAGACAGAAGCAGAGCTGCAGAGAGGACTCAGCAATTAAGATGCATGCTTGCATCTTGCAGAGGATCTGGGTACTGTTCCCAGCATCCATTTTGGGTGGCTCACAACCCTTGTGACTCCAGATCCAGGAAAGTCTGACCTCTCTGGACTCTGTGGAACCCTCACACACGTGTGACACACACACATGCAAACACACATACAAACACAAATGACAAAATACACCTTTAAGAAGAAAGAATTTTTTTCTTTTTTGTGATTCAACACTTTATTTTTAAGTACTCATTTATTTAGGGCTAGAAGTGTGACTAGACAGTACAGTGTCTAGCTTGTATGCTCCAGGCCAGGGTTCAAGCCCCAACACCAACCTAGAATAAAGTCACAGGTACAAAGTCTCATTGGTTCTCTTACTGGAAAAAGTAATTTTATTTTTAAAAAAAAAAAAAAAAAAAAGCTATGCATGATCAGAAGTTCATCTAGTGATCCATTCAATGCCACTTCTAATGTTTGACAAACTGTTATTAAAACTATTCTCAATAGAGTTTAAACAGCAAAAATGACTCATCTATGGAGAACCAATTGAAATTCATAATGATCTGCAGTATTATTATTCCTTTTGATTGTATAAATTAGTAAGAAATAGAGTTTGAAACTAGTTATAAGAATAAACATTTGAGTAGAATTCTTCCAGGAAATATATAAATAGATAGATACATACATACATATACATACATACATACACATACATATACATACATACACATACATATACATACATACA